GTCAATGAGGAATCCAGCCAGGATCACCACTATTGCATTCCTGTTGATAACAGAGAGAAGCTTCTCATTGATAAGCCACTTTTCTGCATTTTCACAGTGAAATCAATGCATTAACGTGCTTACGTCCAAGCATAGATGGCATAGAGAAGATTGTACTGCTGAGGGGTCATCCCAAGTCCCTCCACACAGTCCACTGTCCCGTTGATCACCGTCGCATTGGGACACGTCAGGTTCTGCCAAAAAACAACAGTCAAACATTAAAAACAACATCAGTCTTTCCCTGCTGATAATCAAGTCGTGCAATATTGATGCGATCTGTAAGCAGCGCTGCCTCTTGCTCACCCCTTGGAACTGATCCTGTAACACACTGGGAATGTCGAAGCAAAAGTAGGACCCAAAGGTCAGCAGACAGTTAAAGAAGAGCACCACAAAGCGATAGTATGCTGCAAGACAGTGACGCACAATAAAGAAAGGGCAACATCAGGTGATTTAAAAATGCAGCAGCCTCAGATCAATATAACAAATACTTTATTATGTCTGAGGATATTTTTGGTTTTTAACAAAGTGCTACTGTGCGACCTGGCACTGTTTTTTTTTTTTTTAAAGGAGGAAAAAATATATGTAATTCTTCTTGTTCTGTACAGGTAAGCTTATGAATTACGAAAAACAGAGTGGAGAATTATGTGTGCTAATTACGCACAGAGCGAACTGAGTTTCGTGTTCAGCCAACTTCTCCTACAGTCACGAGCTCTTTTTGTGACACTGGAAGTATAAAATGCTGAGTTGGTCACTAAGAGGCTTTTTTAGGGAAGTGTCTGCAGGGTTACAAGCAGAGGTCTTGGTCAGCTCAGTAAAATATGCTGGCTTGCTGTGTTTTTAATAAATAACTTTGTAGTGACACGTACCTTCCTCCGCCGGCTGCGCCATCGTGTTAGCTGTAAAACAAAGCGTCAAAAACCATATCATTCGCTGTTGTTTACATGTACATAGCGACTGCTACGCTTCTTCAGCAGCTGACGTCGAGAAACCGCAGATCTTAAAACCACATGGATGGAGCTGCTGCCGTAAATATGAACACGTAATGATGTACGGCACGTTTACGAAGCAGCGGAGACCGGAAGTACCCCGCTTTTTTTCTTTTTGGAAGCTTTATTGACAAGTAAACGTTTACATCCAAAAATAGGTGGAACATTTTCAGCAAAATTACTATAATAATTACAAAAAATACTTTATTCAATCTATTTCGTTTGTTGTTGTTTTTTCAAGGAATAACACTATTTTTAACCGTTTGTTGCAAAGACTTTAGCCAAGATTGTGGCTATGCGACAGCTCTCCTGGACAAACACTTCATAAATTACAATCAGGTTTCTGTGCTGTTTATTGGACTGATGACAGTTTGATACTGGGTGACGCAGGAGAATGTTCTGCTTTGCTGATCTTGGGCCTGACCTCTTCTCTTGATACTGTTGACCATCACATTATGCTCAATAAGAGAGGTCGGCAAATATCCGTAGTATCCATACCAATGCTAGTATTGGTAGCGAATATATACCAGTTCAGTATGTAGTGTTCAATAAATAGTTTTTTTTAAATAAATAATTTCATCATTAAATAATAATCATTTTAATTTATCTATATAGTGCAAAATCACAACAACAGTCAACTCAGGGTGCTTTATATAGTATTGAAAAGAAAAGAAGAAAAGAAATTAAAAAATACTTCAAATATGAGCGATCCTTTTTTGTGGCTGCTTTGAAGTTCAGGTCCACTTCTCTTACCTGTCGTGTGAATTTTGGGGGCTTTTACCTTTTTTCTGCCCTTTCAAAGAAAATTTCCTATCACTGGGATGCAGATAATATTCAGTTATATATATCTATTAAGCCCCAAGATGTTTCTAAGTTACAGACCTTTCATAGGCAGTGAGAATTCATTAAAAGTTGGACTGCATGCAATTTTTTTAGCAAAACATCTAAGTACTCAAATATGACAATGTTAAAAATTCAGTTACACTGGCTTACCAATAATTTCAGTCCAATTTAAGATTCAGGTTTTGAATTTTAGAGCTCTGTGTGGATAACCATTACTGCACACCAGAGAACTTTTACATCCATTAATCCCCAGCTGAGTTCATGTGCAGCATACAAGACCGAGACAGAGTTTTTACAGCAGTGAGCCCCTAGACTCTGAGGCTCTCGCTCACCAATTTTACCTTTAGCCTTTTATATAATTTTAAAGACAATAATGAACCTGGAAGAAAACAAAATGAAAACTATTCATTAAGAAATTTCTTCTTAATTAATAAATCTTTGTTGTCTTCTGTATTTTAAACACTGTTTATTAGAAAAATATATATATATAAAACGATTAAGTGTCAAAGTTTTTTTTCCCTGTTTCAAACCTGAAAAAATACATTAGAGCTTCATCAAAGCATCATCAAATTGTGTTTACATTTATCCTAACAACAACCTTAATAATAATTCAACTCATCAATGCACGCAAAGCACAAAATAAAGTCCTAGCTGTCGGTATAATATACCACCCTACCTATTTACTCACTAGCTCAGCTGACTGTCCTGGGATTTTAATCCAATAAGAAACAGGTGTGTCAGTTTATCTGATGACAGCTGCTGTGTCTCTCTCTACCTCCTGTAGTCCACAGTATAATCTAATGTTTTGATTAGAATTTAACATTTTAAATATAGCTATACTTGTAAAGGCTTCTCTTTAATTAATCAGGAATGTGGGGTATGTTGGGTTATACAAACAAAGCAGCTTCACGCTAATTTTTTCTTAATCTTTCATGGGTTTACAAATCAGGAATTGATGGGTTTTGACTGCGTCTTGAACATGTGATGAGATGTCATTTGTTATCAGGATGTCCTAAAAACTTCAGATAATCCACAATGCTGCAGCAAAAGTACTGACTTCTCTTCACTGACTCCCTGTTAAATCCAGAGTTGAATTCAAATTCCTGCTCCTCACATACAAGGTCGTGAATAAACAGGCCCCATCTTGTCTTAAACTTGTAGTATCACCATCACCCCATTAAAGCCCTTTGCTCTCAGACTCCGAACTAACTTGTGGTTCCTAGAGTATTTAAAAGTAGAATGGGAGGCAGAGCCTTCAGCTTTCAGGACCCTTTTCTGTGAAAACATCTTCCGCTTTGGATTTGGGTGACAGACACCATCTCTACTTTTAGGATTAGGCTTAAAACTTTCCTTTTCGCTAAAGCATATAGGGGTGGATCAGGTGATCCTGAATCTTCCCTCAGGTGTGCTGCAATAGGTGTAGGTTGCTGGGGATTCCCATGATGCATTCAGCATTTCTTCTTCAGTCATCTTTTCCACTCACAGAGTGAGTGGAAAATATCCAGAGAATAACAAATTACAGTAGCCAGCCTAGAATTAATAAATGCATAAACTATTTTTTCAGCATCACAGCATCTGAGACAGGATGTTTCTAATTTTGGAGATATTGCGCAAGTGGAAGAAAGCAGTCCTACATATTTGTTTAATATGAGCATTGAAGGACATCTCCTGGTCAAAAATGACTCCAAGATTCCTCACAGTGTGACTGGATGCCAAGGTAAGAATCCAAAATAAGCAACTTGTTAGAAACAGTTTCTACGATTTTTAGGGCCGAGCACAATAATCTCAGTATTAACTGAATTTAGAAGCAGGAAATTAGAGGTCATCAGGGTTTTTATATCTATAAGACATTCCTGCAGTTTAATTATCTGGTGTGTTATCTGGCTTCATAGATAGATGAATCTGGGTGTCATCTGCATAGAAGTTAAAATGTATGCTATGCTTTTCGATGATGTTCCCAATGGGAAGCATATTTAACTTCCTGGGACCTGGCGTCCACATATGTGGACATCACATTTTGGGTTGTCTAGACCAGCGGTCCCCAACCT